AGTCGCCTGCTTCAAAGAGGAATCAGACCACCTCTGCTGCCACGTACGTCGCCCTTTTTGGCCTGCATCTTCGCTCGATTCTTTTGCGCCGCTGTCGGAGGTGGTGGGCAAATTTCTATGCACCGACCACGCAACACAAGAGAGAAGAACAGCTGCAATGCCAATTCCCTCACTATGCACTTTGCTCTCGAGGCTCATTTATGCTGACATGGACGAATTGCTCTCCGCAGAAAGACTCGCGATATCCCCAGCCCTGCTTTCCAGGCCGCCGACAAGGACCGAAGCCATGTCCAACCCCTGGTCAACCCCAAAAGTCCTGAGATGGACGAATCGTACGGCACCAATGCTCCCCCTCCTCCGCATCCTCGTATGCGCTTGTGTAGCTGGCTGGGCCAGTACTGACCTGGGTGGTTTTCCAATAGGTTCATCGGAAAGACTGGTGGCGAAATTTTCCACGAGATGATGCTGAGACATGAGGTGAAGCACGTGTGTATGTTTTCCCCTTTGTCTTTGTTCCCTGCCAACGGTCGTGTGTCATCCCACTAACCTTGTCCCTCGTGTAGTTGGATACCCCGGTGGTGCTATTCTCCCCGTCTTCGATGCCATTTACAACTCAAAACACTTCGAATTCATCCTCCCCAAGCATGAGCAAGGTGCTGGCCACATGGCCGAGGGTTACGCCCGGGCTTCTGGCAAGCCCGGCGTCGTCCTCGTGACATCTGGTCCTGGTGCGACCAACGTGATAACTCCGTGCGTCACCTAGCATTCCGTGAGCTGTACACCCAAGTATTTGATTTTCTAACGCCTCTTTGCAGAATCCAGGACGCCTTCTCTGACGGAATTCCCCTCGTTGTCTTCTCTGGCCAAGTCCCAACCGCTGCTATCGGTTCGGACGGTTTCCAAGAAGCCGATATTGTTGGCATCTCCCGGGCTTGCACCAAGTGGAATGTCATGGTCAAGAACGTTGCAGAGCTGCCTCGCCGCATTAACGAGGCCTTCGAGATCGCCACCTCCGGCCGCCCAGGTCCCGTCCTCGTGGATCTCCCCAAGGATGTCACAGCTGGTGTCCTCCGACGCGCCATTCCCACCGAGGTCGTCCTCCCAGGTGTCCCTAGCCCGGCCAGCCGCGCAGCCATGGAGCTGTCTCGCCAGCAGATGCAGGGCGCCTTAAAACGTGTTGCTGACCTCATCAACGTCGCCAAGCAGCCCATCATCTACGCCGGTCACGGTATTGTCCAGTCCGAGGGCGGCCCTGAGCTTCTGAGGGAGCTCGCTGACAAGGCCTCGATCCCCGTCACCACCACCCTGCACGGCCTGGGCGCATTCGACGAGCTTGACGAAAAGGCTCTGCACATGCTTGGTATGCACGGATCGGCCTATGCCAACATGTCCATGCAGAACGCCGATCTCATCATCGCTCTCGGTGCCCGTTTCGATGACCGTGTCACCCTGAACGTTTCCAAGTTCGCCCCTGCCGCCAAGGCTGCTGCTGCTGAGGGCCGTGGAGGCATTGTTCACTTCGAAATCATGCCCAAGAACATCAACAAGGTCGTGCAAGCTACCGAGGCTATTGAGGGTGATGTTGCTACTAACGTCCGAAACCTGATTCCTCTCGTCAACAACAAGTCGATGGAGGACCGAAGCGCCTGGTTCGGCAAGATCAACGGGTGGAAGAAGGAGTATCCCCTGAGTCACTATGAGCGATCCGAGCGTGGTGAATTGATCAAGCCCCAGACCCTGATCGAGGAACTCAGCAACGTGACTGCTGATCGTAAGGACAAGACCTACATCACCACTGGTGTTGGTCAGCACCAGATGTGGACAGCCCAGCACTTCCGATGGAGACACCCTCGCACCATGATCAGCTCTGGAGGCCTTGGCACTATGGGCTTCGGTCTGCCTTCCGCCATTGGTGTCAAGGTTGCCAAGCCCGATTCTCTGGTCATTGACATTGACGGTGATGCTTCGTTCAACATGACTCTTACTGAGCTCTCCACTGCCGCTCAGTTCAACATTGGTGTGAAGGTCATCGTGCTGAACAACGAGGAGCAAGGCATGGTCACTCAGTGGCAGAACCTCTTCTACGAGGATCGCTATGCCCACACCCACCAGGCCAACCCCGACTTCCAGTTGCTTTCCAAAGCCATGGGCGTCCAGTGCCGCAAGATCTCCAAGCCCGAGGAGGTCGTTGAGGCCCTTGAGTGGCTGATCAACACCGATGGCCCCGCCCTTTTGGAGGTCATGACCGACAAGAAGGTCCCTGTCTTGCCCATGGTGCCTGCAGGATCAGGTCTCCACGAGTTCCTTGTCTGGGACGGAGGTACGTATCAAACTACTTTCCCAACATGACTGCGCATTGATGATGTACTAACAACTCTATAGAGAAGGACAAGAAGCGACGCGAGTTGATGCGTGAGAGAACGGGTGGTCTACATGGTTAAAAAAGTAAAAAAGTTTCTTTTTATGGCGATTGGAGAAATGGAAAAGTAACGAGATTTTACCCCAGTGAGCAAAGTCCTGGCTGATGGACAACTCACTCAACATGTCGGAACTGTTATATACCATCTATTTTTATTTTCTTGCTCCACCTATCCCGATCCGACAACCATATTCTTTGGCGAAGCCTGCCCACGAAGAGACTAGGCTCGGTTATCTCACCCATTTTGTCCATCTTGCATATTGCCTGTCTCTTCCTGTCTGGTAATGACGGCGTTTCTTTATTGATGGGTTAGGAGGGGGATTCTTTTTGCGCTATATGAAGTAAAAAAAAATGAAAGGTTTCTCGTTCCCTCCTACTTGTTTGATCGCTATGAGTTTTCAATGTGAAGAAGTTGGTGGAGAGTAGTAGTATTCATGACTATACTTGGGCATACTAGTTGGGCTGTGTAGCGGGGTAGTTTATGCCTGACAATCCTCTTGAGGAGGTCAAAATTGCAGTGCTTTCGCATCTTCGTGAGTTTCCCCAAATACATCTGTTTAAAGACAACGTAAATTTGCACTGATTAACAAAGGGCAAAAGGTAGATGGAGGCAACACTTGAGAACGTGTTCTTTCATAGTTGTAGCCTTCTATACCGAAAATCTAGGGTCATATAGATGATGCAGAAGTGTTACATGAAGAAAATAGCATAACTACTCAAGATAGATGAGGAAGGGGTTACTTTTTCTCGGTAACTGTTGTAGAGGGTCAAAATTGCCATGCTATGCTATGTCGTGACGAGGACGGGGCACGAGGGTCGGTGAGCGGCTATGCTTGCAACTTGAGAGAGGCCAAGAATGCTGTGCAACCCGTACTTGTCTTATTTGTTTTCCTTACGCTTGCCATCTTTGGAGGCCCGGCGAATCATGAATCAAACCACAACCTGGTGAGAATAATTCCACCAGCACAGCAATTTTAACCCCCCCGCAAAGGTTGTAAGGCGTAATACCACCATATTGCGCAGTCTCCTGCGGTGCTACCCCATGCTCTTCACGCCACGAGACCAGGAATACTTCCCGTCCATTCGCAGTTCTCCAGGCCGGCACAGCAAGCTCATCATGCTGAGAAGACCTTTCAGTTCAAGGTGCACTTTCGCACGGCTCTGAATTGCCAGGTGGGTGAAACCAGCCAGCCCGTGAGAGGCGATTCGTTCTGGGGTGCTAGGGCATCTGAACAGTTGTGACTCGGGACTGTAGGAAAGGGTTGTGCAAAAGGGCAATTGGTCTTTGACAACCTCTCTGGAGTGGTTAAAATTGCTGTGCTGGCGGCATTGCGGAGGTGGGGCAGTATGCATTGATCTGACCACCTATACTTCTCCAGGCAAAGGGCAATTGGTCTTTCATAACCCCTCTGGGGTGGTTAAAATTGCTGTGCATGTCCCGTTAGGCTGACTCTAGCCGTCCGGCAGGTTGACTCCGGGAACCACGCTAGGTAGATATATAACTTTGGCATCTTTATCGCCCTCGAAAAACTCAAGCCGGTGACGTGCTGCAGACCCGCTACATATTCCTGAAGGTCCAAAGGGGCTTAGAATGCAACCTGGAGCCCTGCTCTATTTCTTTTGCAACTTTCTACGGTAAGGGAGACCAGAAGAGCTATAAGCGTCGAGCGAAGAGAGGTACCGATAACTTCTCTCAGCTGTACAAAAAATACCTAATGCAGCTTGAGGGCCGACAATCCTTTGGGGGAGGTTAAAATCGCTGTGCTGGTGAAGCGTGCGCCTTCCTAATTTAGGTCCTCGCAAGTAAGCGTATTGCATTTTGTTCTTGGCACATAAGAATATGAGTTGGTGAGTGCTCAAGTCTGCAAAACGGCAACATTGTATGCCCGACGGCCTTCTGAGCAGGCTATGATTGGTGCTCAAGAGCGGTCCATTTGTCTACAATCATTTGTACCGAACTGGTCAGCCCCCCTTGCCTTGTTGTTTGACGTGATGCATCAAAAATATGTAGAGATGACGGCCATGGTTGTGCGAAAGCGTAACTCTGGGTTTGGCAAGCCTTCTGGGGAGGTTAAAATTGCTGTGCTCGCGGCGTTTAAGTGGAGATTCATCGTATTCAAGTGGTGACGAGCGTAACGTGGCGTTCCAATCAACTCCTCCGAAAATGATGTGAAAGGGAATTGAGGTACGCATATTTTAGGCACGTATTATCCGATTTGGTGCCTGCACTTTGGGGTATATGAGATCCAGAATACTCATAGGTATTGTAATGTACTTCTGAATAGAATACTACTAGTAAAAACATCGATCGCTATCTAGAATGTGGTATATGATGTGCTCATTGATCATACTTCATTTGGTTCACTCAATCGGACTTGGAGCCTGGACAAGAAGTAGAGCTTACCTAGTAAAACCGTATTGGCAGACGCAGATGCACAAAGGGAAACCAGGGGCAGGTTTCGAGGAAAACTCACGGCTTATGTTGTGGTGGGTGAAGCCTGCATAGTATAGATGGATAAGTTGGGTTATTGTGAAGGCAAAGGGATCTGTAGAGTGACCATTCTCAGCCAAAACTTCCAAATCACAGCGTGTCCCCAATAAAGTCGTCGGCACGAAGCCAGTCAAACGTATCCAGCAGGTCAAAGTTAAAGTAGGGCTGGTAGGCGTCCGGCTGCTCGAAGGGCTCCAGGGGCTTCGAGCTCGACTCGATCAGGGGGTTGTTGAGCGTGTGGTCCAGGACGTGCTGGATGACGGTCTTGCAGCTGGCGCAGAGGTCCGAGTTCGGGGCGTCGGGGCTCACCCAGCTGAGGAACCCGACTAGCAGACTCAGCTGCTGGATGATGCTCGATCGGGTGACCTTGGGATCGCGGGGATGGGGGCCGGAGAAGGTTGGCTTGAGAAGCTCCATGCAGAGGATGCCACCGCCGGGAGCGGCGTAGGCCATGACCTGAGTTTTTGTTTAGTTTCGGCAACTAAGAAGTAAAATCACTGGCTGCCACCGAGCTAATTGATACTTACAAGCCACTGAAAATCTATGCGAGCTTTGGTAAACGAATCCTTATGGATCCAGAAGTTGAGAGTCAGTGTGACCATTTCGTAGCTAATGGTCAGCAATTCTCCCTCCTGAGCTTGACCATACCGCTGGAGCAGACGCTCAGCAAAGAAAAGATTCTGCAAGTGCTCAATCTGTACCAACGTTTTCGCATACGCTGTGTCGGCATTCATCCTGGGGTCCTCGAGTTCATGCGGATCATAGGCTAGCCCAGGGGGTAGCTCGGCGATGAGAGCTGCTTCGCGTGCTTTGATCTCTCTAACTTCACGTCAGCTACATCGGTGGGATAGTGGGGTAGAGAAAATGGCATTTAGCTTACATTAGGGTGTCAACCTTGGGTTGCTTGCTGCTGCCGAGGGCAATCTCGAGCAGATCATCCCGGACGTGGGCGATGATGACGCGTGCTCGAATCATGGTCGTAGCACTAAAGTCGCCAGTTGTTTTCCATCCATTCTTATCGAGAGCTTGGATAGATTTCTCTAACGATGCGTTCCCGGCGAAATAATCTTTATCGGAAATGTCGAGTGGTGGCGGAGTGGAAGCATACCGATTGCTCAGAAGCGGCGGTCGTCCCTGGAAGGAGGCAATCACCTTGTCAGTGGTGTACGCGACTGCAAAGAGCCTGCGCCTTAGTTCGGAGCAAAAAGTCGGCGTGTAGTTGGACTGCTCTGGCTCCGTATACAAACCAAGGTAGGTCGAGACGGCGACAGCATCGGCATTGGCTCTCCAGCATTCGAGACCCGCGTCGCCGAGCGTGACTGACTCAAGGAAGGAACGCTTCGAGCATATGTGTAATACCATCAAGTTGCCCCCGGCCATGCAGAGACATAAGCCAAGGCAGATGTCGAGCCATTCCAGGACGGCTTGCTTGAACGAGATACGGTGCCACCAACTGCTGGCGCATTCCTCCACTCCACACCCACCGGAGAAGAGCTCGGGAAAGGTGAAGAGTAAGCCCAATGACTCCCACCTCAGATTGGGCCCCACGAATTGGTCGATCCAGTCATTGGGGTCAGCGAGGTCGTCGGAAACTTGTTTCAGCGTGTTGGTGGACATCAACTGGGCGAGATTCTCGATCTGCGAGTCAGATCTGTGAGTTAGAGTGGTACGAAAGCTTGCGAGAATCCTTCCCGCAGCTATCTGGGCCCAGGTGTCGTTATTCTTGAAGGAGATGTTGGCCTGAGCCTGCGCCAGGTCAAGATCGGGCAGGTCGCGGAGAAGAGCATGGCAGTTCGCCCGGGTGGCTGCCGACATGACCCAGGGGAAGCCGCCCGCGCGGATCGGCTTGAGGCGGTCATTGGCCGGGAGGGGCGAAGGCTGGCCCTGCAGGCAGGAGAGCCTGGTGCGGGCCTCTTCGTAGACGGCAGAGTAGCTGGTGAAGCCTAGAGGGCCGAGGCGGGAAGGGGGGAGGAGAGGTGCGGTGGGCGACGCAAGTGAGGAGGAGTCATAGCGATGCTGACGGTGCTGATTTGGAGAGGCGGTCGTCACCGCCGTCGTACCACTGGCACACCCGCTCTCGTTTGATGGTGTGGAAGACTGCCCGCTGGGGTGATTGGAGCTGGGAGGAGCACCAAATTCAAAGTTGCTTCGAGGAGTAGGATGTCTGGAGCCGGCTACATGTGCCGCTGGGTGGGTCTCATACGATGACAAGGCTGCCGGCAGCGATGACGATACCGGAGATGATGCTGGCCGCAGACGTGCGCGCCCTGCTGCTGACGACTTCTTAGTTACCTTGGGGCTTGTGGTGGAGGTTGAGATGACCTTGGTCGAGGCCGATGCCGACGCCGTGGTGGAGCCGATGGTGTAGACGCAAGCACTGGCTTGGTTGCGTTTGCGACATCTGTTGCAGACGGGCTGCGTGTGGTCACAGGCTACCTTTCGGAGCCGGCAAGGATCACACGCCTGGGGCCGGCCATTGAGACGCCGAAGCAGAGGCGTCTCCGCTGCGTTTTGCATCGAGGGAGAAGATGTGCAAAACGTAGGGATCGCAGGGCAGTTGTCAGGCCATCGATGCGTACAGAGCGAGGTTCGAGGAGTTAAAATTGGGTTTCCAGGATACGATGGAGACGCGGAGTCACTGACGGAGACGGAGACGGAGACGGACAGCAAAAAGTGGGAATATCTGCGGCTGAGTCTGAGGGTGAAGCGAATTGGTAATTGGACGAATTGGTAATTGGAATGGTGTTTGAGAGATGGATAATCAATCAGCAATGGGAGGAAAGGGCGGTGCTCGGCTTCGGCTTCGGGGTCGAGCTAGAGCTGCCGGCTACAGGCCCTAGACCGCTGTAGGGCAGCACAAGGGCGCGCACCCATGTGCTGTGTTCAACGCTACTACGGCGGAGAGCCACTAACAGTCCCACTGGCCGCTAGGGAGGTTCGCTACCGAACGCCGTCCCTGGGCTCCATCTCCATGTGGTGTGAACGTGCGCACGCAACGCTCCCCCAAGTGCCAGCTTAGCCCAAATAAACTTCAGCTCTCTCCACCGAGGCAGGCTCCATCTGGATTTGTCACCGGCCGTGTGACTCAATCTGCCGTGTATGCACCTCAGGCAGGAAGGGTATCTGATCCGAGCAGCGGGTGGGTAGGTGTCCACGGGCTGGTCTTGACGAGGCCATTGGCATTGGGCGGAGGACAAAATGTGCTCCGGACCGGTTGGCGATGCTGTCTCGGTATCTAGTATGCATAGGTATATATAGGCTTGGCCCTGCGCCTTATCACAGGAGAAATAATTCATCACAAGACAATCCATTACTTACTTGACTCTTGGTCACTTGGCTCTGCGTCTGAATCCTCCATCCTGTCTTATAACAGCCTTCCAGAAAACACATACCGCATTCCATCAAAATCACCAACACTTCCACAATGGCTCCCACACTCTCCAGCAAAAAGGCCCCAGCCGTCACCTCAGATGCTGCTTCTGAAATCACTCTCGTGAACCCCGGAAAAGGTACAGTGACACCAATTGGCAACACATCCACATATACATCGACCTCATTGGGTTTCCCATCAATGGCGACTAACACATATCCTTCTCAAAAGGTTCATCCTCCTCCGGTCCTCGAAGCTTCAAAACAGCCGTCAAAGACGAATTCAAGAAGTTCAAGGCCGAAGTCCACAAGAGCACCACCGACCCGCATAAGTCCTGGGAGGCTCGATACTGTAAGACAGCTCACTCGTCCTCTCCCCAAATTCCCTCCCCTCACTTGAATATTCGCTAACATGCTTGTTGATATTGGCTCTTAAAGACGCCGCGCATTAGTTGCTCCCGGATCCGAGCCCCCGTTGTCCTTTCATTAGAGTTCCTTCATCTTTCCGATATAGACGGACGCTCCCGCCGGCGATCGCAACAAAAGTGGCTTATTTTACGACTTTACGAACAGTGTTTGAATGCGTAATGGGGATGGGTTTAATATGCGTCCATCCGCCATTAAGGGGACGGCCTTTTGGATAATTTTTCTGTTTTTATATGCTTGGTTCTGACCCATCACGATGAGTCGGTTTGCACTTCAACCTCTGTCTTTTGCTGCGAGAATTTCATCATAAATGCTTTTAACAAGAAAGGTATTATCATGCCTGTCAAATTCTATTTATAAATCACCCAAATCTATGATTCTTCGTCTACTTTTATTCATTATTTCGTGATACGTCGTAAGTGCCATTTCCGTCAAAAACAGCAATAGAACTAACCAGGGCAACCGTCGTCTGGTCATCTACACAGTTCCTTCGTTACACCGGCTGGGCCACCGGGCCTCGTGTCGCCTTTTCTCCGCCATCCTGCCCTCTGTCGATCGTCTCGACCGTCTCCAACTCTGCCTTCTCGTCCGCCGTCAGCGCAGCGGACGCCTTGCCCATCCTCACGGTAATCAACAACACGAATGCCAACGCCGCCAGGGCAACCCCCGTCCAGAACCCTATCCGGAACTGCTGGTCCTTGTCGACATTCTCCGCGCCCTTGTACTGCACCGCGGTGCTGACTGCCATCTCGCCGATGCCGAGCCAGAACGCCAGCCCGAGGTACAGCACGCTGTTGATAAGACCGCCCGCCGTCGACTGCAGCCGCTGCGGCATGGCGGTCGTGATGAAGACGTTGCTCACGTTGAAGGTGATGTCGATGCCGATCGTCCCGCAGATCATGGCTGGGAAGACGTAGGCCCAGTACAGGAACGAGATGGAGGGTTCCCCGTCGCTGGAGCGCTTGGGGATGAGGGCGAAGAGGAGCACGGAGAGGAAGAAGCCGAGCTCGGAGATGATCATGAGTATGCGGTTCGGTAGGATATGGAGCAGGAAACCCCCGCAGATGGCCAGGAACATCCCTCCCACCGCGAGCGGGGTGAACCACGCTGCGGCGAGCAGTGGTCCGATATGCAAGGCTTCCTCAATACTAAGAAAGGGGGTGGTCAGACAAAAATGTGCAGATTTTAGTTGCAGTTTCAGGATTTAGACTTACTAGAAGCTCACATAAAAGAGGAACAGCCCAAACACACCATACAGGCAGAACAAGCCCCCCAGCATTCGCTTCATGTACTTGGGGCGGAAGATCTCGGCCGGCAGCAGAGGCTGCTTCGACACCCAGCCCTGGCAGTAGACGGCCGCGCAGAGCAGCAGGGCCCCGATGATGAGGGTGACGTAGATGTAGGGCGTGCGCCAGCCGTCGGGCGCGTGGGAGCCGTTGGTGAAGGCGAACACGACGAGTACGAGCCCGGGCACGATGGTGCACACCCCCCACCAGTCCATCTGGACCGAGGGGTCCGTGTCGCCCAGCCCGCGCGGGATGGAGAAGGCGCCCAGGAGGAAGACGAGGGCGCACATGATGCAGCCGAGCCAGAAGTACCAGCGCCAGGTGAGCAGCTCGGCCGATAGGGCGCCGAAGAAGATGCCCACGTAGAAGCCGATGCAGGCGAAGGCGCCGTACAGGCTGAAGACGAGGTTCTTGCGCGGACCGGGGCGGTAGGCGCGGGCGAGCAGGGCGATGCCCGTGGGCATGAAGGCGCCGACGCCGAGGCCCTGCATGGCTCGGCAGACGATGAGCATGGTGGAGTTGCGGCTGAAGCCGCTGACGAGGGACCAGGCGACGAGCCAGGCGTGGCCGGAGAGGAAGATGACCTTGGAGCCGTGCCTGTCTGCGAGGCGGGAGAAGGGTAGCAGGAGACAGGCCGTTGTTAGGTTGATGACGGCCGCGGGCCAGGTGCGCACCGAGTCGGGCATGTCGAGGGAGACGGCGACGGCGGGGAGGCAGATGAAGAAGCCGCTGATGAAGTACTCGCTCATCATCATCGAGAGGACCACAGTCGTCACGAAGCTGACCTCGACCAGCCACGACTTGAGGATCTCTGGGCGTTGGCGGCCGAGGCGTTCCAGTTCCTCGTTGCTCATGGTTGGAGTGTCCGGAGCCGGAGTCGTGGGCGGATCGGCTCCGTGAGCCAAAACACCCAGAGATTCCGCCGGAGGTGGGCTATCTTGTGCCACCGCCATGAGGGAAGGGTATCCTGCTCGAGGCTTGTCCTTTCTTTCAAGAGAGGGACAGTTTTGATCCCAATGGCAGCTTAAAGTTGGCTTGCTGCCGAGTTTGACGGAGATGACAGCGTCGACTTCTCCCACCGCAGCTGGAACTGAACCCAACCAGGACAGGAACAGGACAGGAGGGACTAACCTTATTAAAGAAGGAATGGGCGGTAAAAGTCTCCACAGATCTACTACGCGATGAACTTCCTCAACAGGAAAACATTTCCTTTGGTTTGCTGCTTAGGAATCAACTCTCCAGATCTCTCGTGAGGCGTCAATGTGCATATTATGACGGCCGAAATGACGACCTGATGACGACCTCGTCTTATACAATTACCAATCCTTCGACGAGCACATCCAGAAAGGTTGGCTCAAAGTAAAAAAATAACTCCATGGGCCCCTTTTAAGCTCCGAGCCGAAGCCGCTGGAAATGTGGAACCGAGCCGGGGACTGATGCCGTAGTTCCTTCAAAACCGGGATCTTGGTCCTTTAAATAAGAAGAAATTTTGTACGTCTTTAGAATTTGGTTATCGACCTCTATAATCAGCTTATGGAAAGTACTTTACCGCCTCAGTTCTTCGTCACACCGAACCGCTGAAATCCAGACATTGGACGAACCGTTCCGAAGCTTGGGCCAGTGGTTCATGCTTATTCGGTCTCTCGGCATTGACATACCAGTCACTTTTGCAAGAAGTCTCATCTCAACCGTCGTTTCCTCTTCATCTTCTCTTTCCTCATTTCTCACGTTTCCAGGGGGGTGGGCTTAATGAAGTATGTGGTATAGACAAAGAAGGAACAGTGGTAGCCCGACATGGCTCAAGCCAGCAATGGGTCGGAGACTGGCAGCAGCCCTCTCTTCAGCATCTGGATTCTCGCTCTTACCTTGATTAGTGTTGGTGTTATTCGAATTGTTTTCCGAATCACCGCCGCCGGTCTTGTCGTCAGGAGTTTGGGTGCTCCCTTTGTAGGTCGAGCTATTTGGCCCTCCCCACCTCTTGATACTCTCGGCACTCTCCTGCCTCGGACTGCTTCCTGTGACATTTTTCCAGCGCTGGGTAATGTAGTCAACGACTTCATCGCCGTACAGCTTCACATAGGCACGATGCACCTCCTCGTCGACAGTCGACCCCTTGTCGCAGAACGCATCGCCCTTGTCACAATAGGAGCGGATGCGATCGGAAAGGGACTGACAGCGGTCGACACTGCTCGATTTGCGGTTCCAGATCTAGCCAAGAAAATTCAGCATTGGCCGTATCAGCATAAATAAGGGGAAATTACTCACGCCGCTGTATTGGGCAGTGCCGAAGCTGAAGTTGGAGGCTTTGACGTGTGTCGGATCGCCAAAGAGGATACCTGCAATCACTAGGTCGGGAAATGTCGATGTAAGTTTCTTTCTTATGCCACTTTGTCTTCTAACGAGCATTGATTATAGGACTTACAGTTGCTTTGGGCTATTTTCAAATCGATTGGCTCGACCATGCTGAAGAGACCTCCACCGGATCCGCAGATGATGTCCTCAGCAACCTGAGCACCCTGTTTGTTTCGTCGAGTCAGCTTGGTTGAACACTGCGATTGTTTGATACATACCTGAGAGTAACCAATCACTGCAAATTTCCCCTTGGGACACTTGTCGACGTAGTCTTCCAGGACTGCCTTGAGCGCCTCCTGGCCTTTTCTCTGCGAATCCGGGTACAAGGGTTCTATGAGGCGGGCTGGATAATCGAGGCCAACAACTTTGGATCCAGGAATGCGGTCGGCCACACGGTTGGCGATGCGTCCGCTTTCGCCTGGGCCGGGTAGCTCGTTTGTGGCTCTGGCGACGACGATGTAGAGGCCGTCGATGCATTCCATGTCCTTGTCGCTGGTGTTGATCGCGTCAGAGACGGAGGCTGTCACCGCAAGGGCTACTAGGATTCTTGAAATCCAATACATGATGTTTTATCGGTATTTTGTGTGACTTTTGATATTCCGTGTGGTGCTCAAATCATAAGAGTACCTCAAGCACCTTGGTTCGCTCTTGCCTGCCCACAAACTCTCCCCTTGCTTCTGAGCGAAGAGAGGAAGCGGCAGAGGACTTTTTTTCTAGACCGGAAATTTTTATTTATCGAGTGGAAGTGGTTGGCATTGCGTGTTACGAAGTGCAACAACTCCCTGGAACGCAACGGTGGCTGTCTCACTTCCCCCTCGTGGCTCACGACATCTGTGTGTCTTTGTCTCACTGCGACCTGTTGAACACGGCATCCTCCTGCTTAACCCTCTCTCCCTCTTCCGAGAACAAGACTTGACATGTCTTGGTTCGTAGCATATTGAGACAGAGTGAGACCAAGGAGCGGTCTGTCCAACCTTTCCAGTCGCTCATGAGTAAGCTTAAAATATTCTCCTTAGGGGCCGGCGGCATTTAGTATTTTCATGTTCAGTAGGTCTGGGTGCACATTGGGCTTCCGGAGGACAATCTTTGACAGATTGACAGAGTTTTGTGGGACATCCAGAGGACGGCAAGAAATGATCATTACTCGGATAATCGTCTCAGGTGAAATGGCCCCCACGTCTTCTAATATTGCGTGAAATTTGTAAGGCCATGCCTTCGCAGCATCCGCAGAACTTGGGTGACTGTTGCGTCGTTCCTGTGTGACAGCGGAAGTGCGCACAGGAAGCACGATTGGAGAGCCTCTATGCATCCACCTCAACTACGAATACCTCCTGGAGAATACAAAATATCAAGACGAGATTCAAGCATGAATTTAGAATAAATATATTTTCTAAGGATCTTTTTGGGCTGCGCGATGGAGACCACTTCGCTTGCCTGCGTAACTCTGGACGGCTTGAGGTTAAAGCGGCCAGTGAGTCATTCAGCGCTGCGCCTACAGCGCTCAGCCCAGCCCTAGCCAACCTACAAGCACCAAGTATAAAGCATAAGAGATGACATTTACCCTGATTCTTATCATCCGAGAAGCTTTGCGAGATATTAGACTTCTGAAATACTTATATGTTCATGTAAAAGATTCTGAGCAAAGATTCTGACGCTTGAGCAATCTTTTCACATATAAATTGCCCGCTCCATCTCCGGCGTGGCTGCTCATCTGCTCCTGCCGGCTCTACTCACGCCGCTTGCCTCACACCTTCCTTGCACGCCTTATAACTTGACGCCCAGCCTCACACTCTCATACTTGATTCCTCGTTCAACTTCACACACTTCATCAATAGCCCACCTTCTGTACGCCACACGAGAGCAACAGACCCAAATATCTCGCTCAGTTTAATTTCTCCGCTCAAGGAAGCTTCTTATAATGGGCGGCAACGCCTTCGCTTCGGGGCCAGAGCCCCTTCCAACTCCACGCATGCCCAAAGGTGTCTACCTTCTGGTCAAGGAGCGCTGCTATTCTATCCTGCGCGAGATGTACGATGTCGTCGATTCGCCCATCGAGGGCCCAGCAAAAGAAGACTTCGGCGACCTCGACATTCTCCTCTTCGGCCCCAAGCCTGGGCTTCCGCAAGATAACGCAGCCGGAATCAAACAAGTGGCCCAAGCACTGAATGCCGCCAGAGTGATTTACATCCGAGATAGCTCATCCAACCTCGCCATCCCTTGGCCTTCAGACGTGGATTACCCCCCAACAGCTGAAGAAAGCGCAGAAGGGGAAGAACAGTCGGAATCTCAAGCCCCCGCGGTAGCTCCACACATCCAGGTCGATGTCCGTATCTGCGATGACTTGAAAAAGCTACAGTGGCAGTTGTTCAAGCATGCTCACGGTGACATCTGGAATATCTTGGGCTCTACCATCCGCCCATTCGGGCTGACTGCCGACGAGGGCGCCCTGTGGCTGCGTGTCCCAGAAATAGAGAACCTGAATCGGAAGCGTGCCAAGATCTTTCTTACATCCGACCCTGAGGAGGTCATGGATTTTATAGGTCTGCCTAAATCCCTATACTGGGACGGCCCGTTTGGCTCTCTCGATGAGTTGTACGAGTATGCTGCACAATGCCGAATGTTCTCGGCACCCCCGTACGTGGAAGGGAGTGATACTAGTGGCACATCTAACGAGGGAAACGCATCCTCGGAAGATCCGCCCAAAAGGAAGCTCAAAGCCAACGACCGCCGGAGGATGAACTATCGGCCAATATTCCGGAAGTGGGTCGAGGAGTTTGTGCCCGAGTGCAGCAAGCAGGGCAGGTTCCGAGAATTGAGCCTCACGAGAGAGCAAGTGACGCATCAGGCGATGGACAAGTTTGGCGTGGAGGAGGAGTTTGAGCAGCGGCGCCAGGAGTTTTTGCTCGAGAGAGACAGAGACGCTATTTGGAAGAACGTCATCAAGGTCCAGGTTCCCGAAGCAGACTTGTCCAATACCAAGTCCATCACGTACCGGGGATGCCTTCTCAAAGCACTGAAGAAGATCATTTTGGAGGGTGAGGAGACACATGGGGTTGTTCCCGGGAACAGTATGAAGGATGAGAATGGCTTTTTCATTCCCGAGGCTGTTAAGACCTTTATCGACGAAAACAAGAATGAGATTGGATCTAAGGCGTATGGCATGCATCATGAGGCTTACCTCTCGTCAAAGGAAGCCAAAGCGAAAGTCACGCTCCAGGCTGGGGAATCATAATATTCAGCTAAACGATATCTATTTGTTGTATTTATAGCAGGCAACAGAACTTAATGTCACTTTACGATAGAGGAGTTTCCAGGGGTCCGCACTTACATTCGTTTTTTAGTAGTAATTAAAGGATATCTCATAATTGGACTAGAAAGGAAAGTCGGTGGCTGCATTGAAATGATTTGTCGACAACAATACCGCGAGATAATTCTAATACATGATCACTGTTCAGGATTGTAAGAGTAAACTAGTTGGCTCATTTATGCTGTATGTAATCCTGCTGACCCTGTGATTCTATTCATCCCATGAAGGCGCAAGTCTAATATTCTTCGGTCAAGCAGCAACCTCAAAATCCAAGAGAGTAACAGAAACAACGGGGTTCGCTCATGGTCTCAAGAACCTCGGTCTTATGCTAGTGACTGGTTTCTTTGCCCAACTTAGATGACATACACCTTTGCTTTCTCAGTTGGCAACTCCCCAGGGGTAGCGGTTGAAGAACTACACGGTATGTTTACTCTGAAATTGACCGTGGGAGATTATTCATGTTAGTGATAGTACTGCTAGCGGATAATGGGAAGCCTTTTATTTCAAGCATCGTGGATCTCTAGTTAGTGAATTGTATTGTAGCGTCTAAGCAAAGCATATGTGTGACTACTATGCATCTTTCCGCCAAGTAGATAATCTCTACTCTGAAATATGAAGACAATCTCGAGTCTCATCACTCGGCGCTTCCAGTACCATCCCATCTAATAGACCGTTTCTTCTTCTCACGATTGTTCAGATTGTCAATAAGGGTAAGGCTCTTTATAGGCCCTTTAAAATCCTATACGATGAAGCCATAAAACGTTGCTTTTCTATCTTTACTGAATCACCTTGGGCATCTAGGCAACTGATCATGACCTTGACTCAACCCATTTTTTTTGCAACTAGGGTCAAATAATATAAAACTTTTCCCATTAACTTAAATTTGTATCCAAAATAACGCCCGTATCCTAAATTCCATATCTCCCTGACGCCGCCCATATTGCTATTCCGACAAGCTAGCTGGTAATACAGGAAATAATCATGTAATGTAACCATATCCAACCATAAAATTACATCCCAGAGATTGTTTCCCCAACGGGATATTCCACTCCTCCTCATACTACAAAGAACAAAGTCATAGAGAATCCGTGAGATGACACAACCTTGGACATCCAGCTCCGAGGCCCTGTCCCGGCTCATCTCATCAGACTAGCACGCCGTGGACGTCCCGGGCCAGTCGCAGTCTCCTCGAACATGCGGTCCAACCACGGAGACCACTCCCGCCACTGCTCCTGAGCGGCATCCCGAAGCCCTCGTGCCTCCTCCACAACATCGGCCGCCACACCCCAACCGATGCGGAGGGCCGGCTGGATGTTCTCGGCGGCTATGGTGTACGTCTCCGCCACGCGGTCGTACGCACCCGTCAAGGTAGTTAAACCAACCGCAGAATGGCGATGGAGCCCGCGGCTCACGACTGCCAGGTGGCGGGCGGTCGGGATGCCGTGGAGATATCTGATGGCCGGGGCGGCCGTTGGGTGCTCGACCTCGAAGCGGTACGACTCCTGCACGCGCGGGCCGATGGGGACGGCAAAGTCAAACTGGGGGGCAACTTCATGCTCCCTTTCTTCGTCGCCGTCAAAGATAATGACGAGACTCTCGTCGTCGAAAATGAGCTCTCTCGTCTGTGTGCCTGAGAAGTTGGATAGGCGGTTGATCGCTGAGGTTGTGATATCACCCAGCACGCCTCGCGCGCGGTCTCTAAGAGTCTGGGTTGGCTCTAGATGAGCAGGCTCCAGTTGCTGGGCGGATGCACGACGGGACATATTCCAGAATCCCTCGTCATCTGAGAGCTCGGCTGCCTCCTCGTCTCTCGAGTCTTCTGAATCAGACCACACGTCCCAGTGGGTTCGGGTTCGGCGTGAGCGGAAGGTCCAGTTCCCAAAGCAGCCTAAATCTGATGTGCTTCGAAAGCCTCTGGATGACGCAGGTGTGTTGGTTCTAGTGTTCTCATCTCTTGTTGGAGATCTTTCATCTGGGCTGCTATCCGTTCGAGAACTGGGGGAAGATCTCCTTGACGGATAACTTGGGGAAAACTCATATCGAGTTTGGCGTGCCATGGTGAATTAGATGAGATGAGAGGTGAAAAAGTAAAGTAGATATATGACTGAGTATTTTGGATGAAGATTAAAGATGAGAGATTCGAGTGTTCTTAGACAGATGCTGTTGTTGGTTGACTTGACAGGATACGGGAGCCGAGAATTCTGAGAAACAAGGGCATGGGAGAACAAAAAATCCATATTCAGATCCAGAGAAAGGTCTACATATTTATCAAACTCATGCCTGCGTTTTGCGCTGCCTGACGAGTGTTCTACTTGAAAGTGGCATTATTTACTTTGGGGCGTTGCTCTTCATCACCAAGTTACTGCAAGCCAAGGCGCACAAGCTTTTCACAAGCGCAAGCCCATAAAACCGTTTTTGAACTGTTGTTGGTGCTTAACATCATACTAGAGAGAAAATTGGCTTGGTAAAAAGAAAATTAACAGGGGTTTTCTGGTCATATGGGCGTGACCTAGGCGAACGCTTCAGAAACGGCAACCTTAGACACGAACCCAAACAGATCAAACTTCTTTGGTCATTTACGCATTGAGTCATCAATTTATCGTCCAGATGGGCCATGCCCTCGAGAACAGACGACAGCACCCGTTTGCTCTGTCATGGTTTGCCTTGGCCCCGTGAGGGCAGCTCGAGACGACCTCTCATGATCATTGTAGCACTCCCACAACCTGCGTTGGCTAAATAAACATCATTGTTCCGTCTGCGTTTGCTTGCAGTCAGTGTGATTCAGATATATTCTATTTTCCAGAGTTCCAGTGCGAAATATCACTTTCTCAGTTGTTCACGCACCCCTATTGTCAACAAATAACAAACCACGTATGATCATCACTTCAGCATCAACAAACAACATGCAGCATCGATTCAGTGTAGTTAGTTCAATACAAAAATCAACGAGAGACCCTTCTGGTCGTCTTTCTTAACAAGACTTACTCACATTTTCATCTCCAACTGAGTGCATCTAACCAGAATATGCTCTATTGATTCTCCTTGCCAGCATGTCTACCCCTACCCATGATACTCTGAACGTGGGCAAACCCTACAATGCCGCTTGGCGGGTGGTTGCTGGGCCTGACCGCGACAACTACAACTCCATCGAACCCAGGTGCCGCGAAGATCGCAGATGGGTCGTGGATGCGGCGCCTATCGTGGCTGGAGAGCAAGACGGAGTCAAGTTGTCGAGCGTCTGGCGGGCGAGGCAGCTGGAGCCGATATTCACCAACGCGACCGCAGCGGCTGAGCAGTACATGGTGGAAGACGGAGCACGGAAGCAGTATTTTGCAGAGAACCGTAAGTGGCGTGAAGCTGATGAGCTGTTTCATATGTTGGATGTCAAGATTTGTCAGGGCAAGACGGTCACCGTTCGGCAGGACTTGACCGATTCGCGGTTCTACTGCAAGCACAAGGGGGGCACCCCCATCTTCAACTACGAGCCACCGAGGCGGCGCATCACTGGGCAGAGCTACGCGACAATCACCATGTCGGCGGATGGTGTCGTTGAGCATCCCAAGCCGCCCCCTATCAGGGATTCAGACGCGCCAGCTGACAGGAGCGAGTTCACGTACAACGGCGAAGTTCCGCGAGCTGCAAAAGAATACATAGCGCGGCTCTGCACACTCTTGCCGCACGCTGTCCGCGCTCTCATTTGCGTGGTAGTCTGGGAGGGAAAGCAGGTAGGACTCTCAGTTAATGCATTGTCACCGCTCCCTAGTCTCTGTCCGATAGAAGGATTGGTAAGGTTGGCTGAGTTCTGGAGCATCATATTTGGAGGAGGGAGAAAGACGCCGAGGCGGGTCCGCGAGCAACTGGAGAAGAATAGGGTGCTCACGGAGACAGCTTATCTCCTAAACGAGCTTGAGGGGAGGGGAGGGACGAACGACCTCAAGGCGAACCTCAGGATGGTTAGACACAGCGTTTCGTACATGATGGGACTCGAAATTAGAGACGCAGCACATCTGGAGAGCGAGTTCATGAAGAAGGAAGCTTTCGGCGAGCTTTTTGATCCCAGGAGCACCAAAGCCTGCTTCATTTGGGCAAACTCACGCTCGCTTAGTCGTGTTCAAGTAAGTCGTTTACATCGCATCGTCAGAGCGGCGGATGATAGGCTGGGCGGAACAATGTTAATCCCCACTTCACCCCATTCCTCACAGCAAAATTAACAAGGCAAATGCACAGAACATCCACCAGTACTACAAGCACAGGTTTTACAATTCCGACCCCCTCGGCGTTATTTGTTACCAGTTTCTCGATAGCGTGTGGGATCAGATACAGGGTGCTCTCCACGCTTTATCCAGCCTCCCTCCGGAGTCCATTGACCGCAACAATCTCGTGGCAAGCCTGACAAGAGCACCACACTATCCCGCCCATCTACAAAGGTCGCACCTGAGCCCAGAGCTTAGATTGGAGGTTTTATCCACGGATCAGGATAGAGCACCCCGGTCGGATTTGATTTTGTGCCCCTTGTACGCCCGCTCTTAACCGAAGAAGACACTCCTCGTCAGCGGATTGAACAACGAACCCCCCATACCGAGTCAAACGGACGGCACGATCGATCAATTGGTTAGCGAATAGGCCATTCCGGGGTCTACGATCAGGCAGAGTATAGACTGCTACAAAAAGGAGGGGAAGGGACGAAAAGGAAGACGAAAAGACGAACGAAAAGGTCGACGACAGTCCGTGACCGACTTCTCAACACCACACCTCCAGACCTCCCACAATGGCGTCCTTATTCTCCCTGCGCGGCCTCAGCCGCCAGCCGCTCCTCTCCGGCGTCGCCTCATCCGTCACCCACACATCAATGGCCCCGATCCGCCTCCTCTCCACGACCAGCACCCTCCTCAGCAAGGCCGCCAAGCGCGCAAAGGCCGCCAAGATCGGCACCACCCCGCGCCGCAACAAGGGCCACCAGCGCAGCGAGTTCTACGCCCGCGTCAAGATCCTCAAGCAGAACCTCTTCTCCCCCGCCCCTCCGCCCCTACGCATGGCCCGCCTCCGCCACCTGCGGCACTGGACCATCCACCGCGCCTGGCTGCTCTTCCGCCGCCAGCAGAAGGAGGCCACACATAAGGAGCGCGTGAGGATGAACGCGGGCATGTTCAACGCCTGCGAGGAGCTGAGGAAGGTGGCCGGGCCCGGGGACAGGAGCGAGGGCTACCTGTACCGCGTCGCCATGGAGAAGAAGGGCGTGTGGGGTCTCAATGCCGTCCCCATCGAGTACGCCAGGTTCCAGACCGACAGCCCGGCCACGACAGCTTGGAACCATGATTGGAAGAGGTAAATGGGCTTCTCTCTTCGTTCAATGGACAGCGTGTGGAGGGGAAGATCGTCGCAACCAAACTGTATTATTTATTATTATTGGGGACTATGTACAACCACACTTGAAAATAAAATAATGCCCATACTGTATTATACTCAACACGACGTGCCCAGGCCGTTCGATATATTGATGACATGTAACCACTGGGGCCATGAACCCGTCGAGACGAGTGAGAAGTCATAACAATTTCATTACGTACCAAGAGCTAGACAAATCTCCAAGTAGTACCCGATATATCATGCGCTTTTTGTCCACCTCCAGGGAAGATTGTAATAGGAAAGATCGGAACGACAGGACAGGAAACTTCACCAGCTTGCTCTATGGTACCCGCACAAAGACAATCGAAGGCGCAATTGGTGATACAGAGAGAGAGTGAAAGATTGCCACTTGGTCAACTTCCCCTTTTCCGAGCGCCGGCCGCTATTAGAGAGTAAAACGTCTCGCTCATAAATGACAACAGAACTGGGTCCGATAAACGAAAGATGGTAGTAAATGACAGGATAGCCAAGAAGATAGAGAAAAAATCCAAGACATGGTGGTGGGGTGATTATAGTCAGATGCGCAGCATTGCTAGTAGGAGAGGAGAACGAGACGGACGGTAGTATTCGTCCTCTCGCTTGACCTCCCGCTCGATCCATCGTACGGGGACAGCAGAATATCTAGTCCTATGGCCTAGGGTCGGGGTAGGACTGGGTCGGGTGTGGTAGCGTCTCAAACGTTACCAATGCCATTAGGTGAAAGTATTGAGGGGTACACCATGACGGGGCATAAATCTTTCCAGACTTCGCGAAAGCCACGTCACAGAACAACGCAGCAGCCTCCGCCCTCGCCCTTCTCAAACGTCAAGAGGGCAGCGCGCGTGGCTGCCTCAAACACGTCGTCCACGCCTTCACCACTCAAGCTCGAGCATTCAAGATACCGCTTGGCGCCGACCTCGCGCGCGGCTACCTCGCCGTCATGGCTCGTGACGAATCGCTGTGATCTCCTTCGCATCTCTTCAATGGCCACTGGGTCCTCGCGAAGATCCTTCTTGAGACCAACGAGGATGATGGGAACACCGGCACAGAGGCGGGTAGCTTCCTCAACCCACTATTGAGATATGGTCAGTAATCCGCCCAGATAGACACCATGAAGGACATTGAGGCAAACCTTGTGCTTGACGTTGTCAAGTGAGTCGGGGGAATCGACGGAAAACCCTATTAAGATAACATGGGCTTTGGAGTATGCCAGAGGTCGTAGACGCTCATAATCTTCCTGGCCAGCTGTATCCCACAACGCAAGTTGTACGTTCTTTCCATCCACCCTGCAATCGGTCACGTAGTTCTCGAATACGGTAGGGATCTTGTCTCGGTTGTCAGTATTGCGGCACGTTTAGGCTATATCGGTTTCGGTAAAACAAACATAATGCTGCAGTGCTTGGTCAGTAATCGTGTCTCGAGAGAATCAAGAGGGTGAAACATACAGTAGGAAAGTAGCCCAGGGTGAAGACGCTCAGAAGACTGGTCTTGCCGCATGCACCGTCTCCAATGATGACCAGCTTCCTGTTCGGAAAGTCCAGTTAGCATATGAACCCATAGGAGGCGACCGGAGAGCCTGCCAGAAGCAGAAACAGGCCATCCATCGAGCACGGGGTTGAGGAGAGAGAAACTACCTGCGGATAACATTTTGGGGGCTCGCAGACGCCATAGGGAATCTCGGGGCGGTGAGCTACCCGCACTCGTACGAGAGATGATCGAGGGGAGAGGGTCTACGAAGCTGTAGGACTTGTGCTTATGGACCGATGGGTGGTGGCTCTTCGCGCTGGTGAATGACGGAACAATGGGCTATTTCAATGTCGAGGATTCGGCACGCCACGGAGCGTTTGATCGGTTCAATTCGTCGCGAGCAAAAGGGACCCGGGTGAGATAATATCGCTTGACAAATCGTGGTGGGAGAGGGTGGTGCGCTCTATTAAAGGGGAAGAAAAAAGGCCTGGTCGAACAGAATACGATGTGTTGGGGGGGACGGTACGGTGGCAGTGGGACGGGAGGACTTTCTGTATGTGGGATACGGGCTGAGAAAGCTGGAGAGGAGGAGTGCAGTGCCCGTCGCTACCTGCTAAGCTGCTAGTAGCGACAATACGTGCTGCTGTTATGCCTCGTTCAAGCAGGCGCGCAGTGCAGTGGACAGACTGGTGGAGCTCGAGGGTCCTGGGCCAGCCACTGTCACCCGCCGTGGCTCCCACTGGGCCATTGAGATGTGGCTGTGGGCAGGTTCAGGTACCTGGGGCCTAGCACCCGAGGTAGGACCCTAGGACCAGCGAAGGGTCTGGTGTGGTTGGCCTGGGCTGCAATATGGACCTGCTCTGTTAGGGGCACCTGTTGGGAGGCAGGTACCGGAACTGCAGTGGCCGGGTAAGGTAGGTTAGCGCATAGCCTGGCTGTGCACAGCCCTGACCTATGTCGTCGGTGGTGGTGGTGGTCGCCTGAGCCCCAGCCAGTGTCGGCCGGGGTTTGGCCTACCCGGACCCCAAGTGCGTCACTGTGGGTATGGTGTTTGCTAACACCAACAGACGCATCTCGGGATCGGACAGCAGCACAGGTGATGCGCTGGAGGTCGCTACGAGGGATGGAGGACACTCAAGGTCATGAGGCCATCCGTGAGGACCTGGGACTAGCTGCGCGGATGCCAAGATCCGTCCAGGCACAGGGTCGCCGTAGACCCAGCATGGTAGTAGTGCTATGGATGCACGCAGGGCTCTGAATCTCTCCAGAATGCCGGCGGGCACTGACTTGGCCTAGTCCACTGCATGTCATGGACCGGGCTACAGTGGAACTCTGAAGAAACAAGTACCAATTGATCCTCTCATGTGCAATGATGCTGGTTGGATAGACGGAGCAACAATGGGCGGGCGTCGCCAATTGAACACGCGTATTTGCATCACACTATCCCCGCGCTACCCAGCTATCTTTCTACATCTCGCGTTCGCCAAACAGACCGGGCCGTGCGTGCTAACGTGGCGGTTAGAGTAGGACCAGTGTCAACGGAGTGGCCGAGTGTAAACAAGTGCTGGCACAATGGGCGCCAAGACACTAGTAGTGCATGATCATTGGTACGGGATTGGTCTGGGATACGTGCCTCGCGGCACCTACTAGAGGCCCTCGTGTCCAAGATGGGATTGGGGTTCCGGGTCAGCCTCAAGAATGGAACTCCTCCAACTCTTGGGAAGCTGAACGATCACAGTGATGCGTATAAGGCACCGTCGGCATTAGCAGAGTCAGGCCGAGAAAGTCTTCGGCAGAGTTCAATCGGTGCTCAATGTCAAATCCTTCAAAGCAGCGATCTACACAGAACAAGCAAACCCCAGACCAGACCCCACGGGAGTCCAAAACTCACCCAACGCCAGTAAGACGAATTGGTGGTTTAGGCCCAATAGGTACGACTATCCAGTCTTGGGCACCTGGCCCACATCGGTGTATGTACATCATTCTGTTCGACCTACGTATATTCCCAATTAAGCACACCTCAAGAAACTTATGCCTAATAATGGCAGTAGGGGATCTCGTCCAGGATATAGAATACGACTTATGTAGACAAATCATCCTACTGTGGAGCCAGGATTTCGGCATTCAACTGCCTGGACTTATCATGAGATGGATACCCATGAAGATGGATACCGCCCTACTTTGGGGAAGACGTAATTACGTATCTGCCTGGCGCGCCCTACACGTACTTGACGTGTTTCTATGATTAAAATTCCAAGCAAACTATGGGAAACAAACAAAGTGATGTAGTTAAGCGTCAAACCTTCAAATCACAAGACCAACAATCTAGCCTTGTCTTCATGGCACATAAATAGGTACGGACAAAGAGTAGTCGATCCTAGATGTATGAGCGCCTAAAAACACTCTCCTTTCCTTCCAAGATTTTACTATTTTTGTCATTTTCTAATCTGAAACTTATTGCATCACGACAAATGTAATGTTGAAGTTTTATATCAGAAATCTAGGGAAGGCCTCGCCGAAAGTGGGCCGCTTCAATGTATGTCAATGATGTACCTTTCAAACAATGCTAGTGCGTCTGAGTTTAGATAGCCGGTAATAAGCAATTGTCATTTGTTCCAGTGGATGACGGAACGCGTGGCACACCAAGATTGAAGATAATTAGCATATTTATCATGAAA